AATGCACATAACTTTTTATTATATATACTTTTGCCACATATTTTTATTTACTGTAATTCTCTTGGTCTGTAAATATTTCTATTCTTGGCTGGAGCAACTGTCACAAAACACACACAAAAAAATCAATAATTAGTAAAGCAAAGATCAATAATAGCCCAACCAATGACAGGTGAGCATGCTCATGCAGAAACCGTAACAGTTGTTCAGTCAAAGACAAACTCAAACAAAGTCAGACAAAAAGTCCAATAAATTGAAGCTGCTTGATTAAATGAAGTTTGCTGAGATACCGGGAGGGTGTGCTTATCTTATGGGTTCATTATCATGTCTGAGTGATAGAAGGAGCAGTCAATCATGCGTTGATTTGTCTGTTTTAACCAAATTCATCCATGGGCTTTCCAGACCATGAGGTTAAAACACTCATTTATGAATATGGTAATTCATTTTGTCCACAGCTTCTCATATTTACATTAACATTGTAAAACCTTGACAAGAAATATAAGTTAAATGCTGCATCATGAATATGGGACACAAAGTAAAATTGGCTTTGGTTTCTTACTAGAATTTTGTCAGCTTTGGCCTCACTGATGCCCTTGATGTTCAGCAACTCCTTCTTAGGTGCATAGGCCACTGCCTCAATTGTGTGAAAACCTGCCTCCTCCAGCTTCTTAATGTCACTGGCACTGATTCCACATTGCTGCAATGAAAGAATTTGAAAAAGTGAATTTACCAAAGCCGTTTTCAGACATGTTCTGCACAGGATCTCTGGATCTTTTCTATGAAACGGCCAATTTGGGGTTCAGTATCTTTCCCAAGGACACCTCTGCTGTTCTCCCACCCTGTGACCATGTGAATCATGTGATTTTGTTTACAGCACACCGGTTTGGCTCTTCCCACCACAAACTCTCTTGTCATCTTCATCCATGTCTTCCATGTGTATGGCACTGCTTCTTCATCCTGATTTGTTTGTAGTTGTTGTTTTTTTAATTTATTTTTTGCTTCTGTCGCATGTTAGAAGCGTCATAAGTGCATAAGTGGGTACTGATCTCCAGAGTTCAGTACATGTCTGAAAGAAGCCTATGTGATAGGGGAATGTTGAAACAGAGTTAACCAAGGCATATTTTTGACACCTCCTTTGAAAATTAATACATTTTCACAATCATACCATCAAAAGTATGAAAGCATGATAGACAGCTAGATAGGCCAATACAATGTAAAACGATAACCTTAGAATTTGTGCTTCTCAGCAATATATCAGAATAACAATATAATCAATATTACCTGGAGATGGGTTGGCAGAACCAAATGGATACTGATTAAATTATCAATCAACTAAAATTGTTAATTGATTTAGGTACATCAAAGTTTTGCTAAGATCAACACTGCACCATTCACAGCTGATTGACATCCTGTGTAGAAGTAGGGTCAGGTAAAAGTTTAAGAACATCTCAGTGAAAGCTAGCACAGTTCAACAGCTCCACAAAATACAGCCTACAAACTGAACATAAAAATAAATCAGCACTATTTTTAGTAAAAACATAACTTTATGATCATGGAGGATTTATTGTAGAGCTGTACATATAGGGTCTATTATCATTAAGATCATATCACAGCAGTGAGTTTAAAATTATTGATACTAAAATTATTAAATGACTGTTTAAAACACTTGACAATTACTGAGATAAAACGACAAACAGGAACCGCACTGTTCAATAAGAAACTAATTCTTAAGGTCCTGGTTCACACATACACGGTTCAGCTTTCTGCTCCCTCTGCAATACAACTCTGAACCAACAGCAATCAGAGAATTCAAAGCCACATTGCCTTTGATAATACATGTTTGCTAGTAAAGAAAAAATGAAAGTTCACCAAGATCACTTCCCATTAATTTCATAGTGACCCTGAACTGGCTGCACATCTTTTAATGGATGTTCCCTCTCACTCAGAAACAGTGAAAAGTTACATGTATTAAACATGCACACAGATAACATACCTCTAGTCTGCAAAGAGGTTGTGGTCCATAGTTTTCTTCCCCCTCTACCTCTGCCTCCGCCTCGACCCTGGCCTCGCTCCTCATAGCCATGGTTAGAGTCTGACAGTCTGGTCTACAGAGAAGAAATAGAAGTTGACTGCAGTGAGCATGAGGGCTACATTCACGTAATAGCTGAGTGATTTGTCACGGAATAGTTCATAATTCACTAACTCTGAGAGACTGGCTAGTAAAACGTTGACAGTTGTCGTTGAATATAATGGGCGATGAAAGACCTGGTTTCCCTGTGCCCACCGGTGTATCATCTAGCAATTTACTACGCATACTAAAGCTTAGCTTTCTAGTATAAACGCTGTTTTGCGCCAGTTCGCTGCATTCCAGGGAAGTGCCAACGTAAACAGCGCAACACGTCCTCAAATGTGTGGACTGAAATGTAAAGTACAGCTGATACTTACATGCAGCTTCTTGATTCCCTTCAAACTCGTTTGTTGTTCGTTTGATAACTAAAGCTCCCGCGCGAAGCACGCAGTACGTATTCATCTAACGCGTTTACGCAATAGACGTAAACACGCCAAGTGTTGTGATTGGTCAAGCCATGTAAATACAGGAAACAGGCTGATCTCGCCTTCAAAATAAAATCTCAGATTTTGGATTGAGCATTCCATCATGAGGTATATATAAATCTGACTGAGCCGACATGAATTGAAATAAAGCGTGAACCAAAACTATGGTTCAGTTTTAATGCTGTTTATGATTGATATTTTATTCATATTTATTTTTACTGTATCATTATTGTATTTGTATTATTTCATTTAAACCGATTGGCTAGTTTCTCTGGCTAGTTATGTATTTAGTTAGTTCCTTAAATAATTATGAATTAATCACTATCTGGAGGAGGTTAAAATTATACAGCTGATATTGATTTGACCTAATTCACACGAAAAAATAGATGTAGTGTTTCCTTGCACAAATATCTCAGATCATAGCTCTATAGATTCTATATCAGCTGCTGAGTCAGTCATTATCATCATGGGCCAGGAAATCATCAAATTCGCTAAACACTGGTTTCCTACTAATTCCTTTATACAGTACACAGTGCCAGTGCACCCATCATGCATAATGCATATTATATTATAGAAGATATTATAAACTAGTAATTACTCGGTTTTGTTACTGTATATTCTTTTCTTATCAAAGAATTATGTTGCGTGATCACAAATGACGCTTTTGGTTATAATATTAATGATGAAGTGTAACAATAATCTTGCTTCTTTTCACCTCAAGTTAGCCTCGCCACTTTCCTGTCGTTAAAATGTTCGTACACACGGGTTAAAGTTTGCATACAAGTGCGCACATTCTCCCATCAACTTTGTTTTTATAATCCCAATGTTTGCCTGAGAAGTGACATATGCACAAAATGGGGTTTGACAGATGCACACACAAAGGTTATAAACTGTTATATTTATTAATGGCCAGCTCGATGGGGACAGCAGACATAGGATCCATAGGACAAAGGAAGTGTATTGGAGAGCCCCCACCGTTTCAGATATACACATGTGCGAATCTCACAACCACCTTTTTAGACCTACGCATACGCCACCAGTTTGAAATACCTAAAGAGCTCATGTTTGACCTTCATCTGGGCACAGCAATAGACATCTTAGTGGAAATGTAGTGCTGCTTAGCTTTTATGCCACCATTGTATTTATTTGTCTACCATAGAGGGCTGAAATAAATGTTCAGCATAGATAACGTTGATACTTATAGCAGATGTTGAGTTTCCTTCTCTTAGATGCATGGTGTCACAGGACACATGAATGAAAGCTTGCATGAATTCAGCTTGATGTGCTGTATTTATTAACAATGCTAACTTAGATTTCAGTAGAGTGCTTTTGTTGATGTGTTCCCAAAACATGAGCCATACTCCTAAACTATAAATAATTATTCATATTCTGCTTCTTTGTTAAATTACTACATTTCTATGTCCAAGATTTTTACCTCTTTTCCTCAACAGATATCAGTCTCTAAATAAAACTGTCCTAAATAACACTAGTCCTTTATATATTAGTGAGTGGAGCCACAATAATGCATGCTTTGAGCCTCATCACAAAATACTGAAGTTATACATGACCCATGTGTGAGTGAGTCTTATTTTCTTAAAAAAATTGCATCTAATCATTCATTCCTTCTTATTTATCTTTACCAACTACAGTGTCCTCTTTGCAGGAAGGTGGTTCCAGTTTGTCTTTATCTACAGCAACAGGAATACAGGAAGAACGAGCCAAAGTATGAATATGACATCACACCATTACACACAGCTTTCTGCAGGATGCATAGCAATGAGGTAGTGTATTCTGATCTCATCCATCTTGTTTGTAAGAAACCTGGAATTGGTGAGAAACACTTGGGAGCGCTGGTCTCTATGGGTTAACCTTTGGCCTAGGGCTTAGCCCGGCTTGCTTCCTGTGCTTCTGTTTCCTCTCCCTTTGCCACCTGCGTCATTTTGCTGGTGGGATAGAAAAGCTGGATGTGTCAGACGTACGCAGGATCTCCATGGGGATTAAAGTGTTAAACTGAACCTCGTGCCAGCGGAATCTATTTTAACATAGGCTTTTCCAGTTTCTCTCATTGGTCTCATTTGCTGTTTTCGGTAATAAAAGGCAGCTTTATTAAAATGACAGTGTATTAATATAATATTAATCTGACTAACTGTGATGTCACAGTTGTGACCCTTTGACATGGATTATTTGGACCATTTGTGTTCTCTTCACTTTTTCCTTTGTTTATTCACTTTAGGATTGTTGAGCTAGTTTCAGCTTTGTTGAGCAGTCTCACACCTGTGCTGTGTTTGACACTGTTCTTTGGAAACAATTTGCAACCTGAGGAAGAAGATCAGAAGTGACCCTGAGTGTCAACATTCCGCTTTACTGAGGCTCAACTAAAAACTATAGGTGGGAGAACAGGCAATTGTGTAGAGGATACACCTACTGTTGGATATAATGAAAGGACACAACCTCTTTTGTTACTTTTTAGAAGGCCTGCTTTTGACATATACTTCTGGCTCAGTCTGCCCATGTACAGTATGTGTTTGATAAAGACATGATCACATTACTTTTAATAAATAAATAATTGGAGATTTCTTACTTATGTACACACAATGCAATGTATTACTTTTTTAGTCTTTGTGTTATTTTAAAAGGGTCAGTCCTTCCCAGTGTTTGCATTTCTATTAGGTTTATTAGAAACAAGCAAGCAGGTTTAAATGTGAAGGAGACAACAGATATTAATTATTAAGTATGACTAACCTTTATTATCTAAGTTGGAAAAAGACAAAAACAAAGAGAACAAAAACAATACAGAAACAGAAATAATGAGTAACACAGCCTTTTAAAATATTACAGGTGATTTTACTGTGTTTTACACATGTCCTCTTGTTTTGGAGACTGAGGCCACCACTCGTCCTTTCTGGCTGCATCAACACCTGCAGCTGCATCTGCAACACACCAGAATTTTATCAGACCAATGAAGATCAAGTAACAGTAGATAATACATTCATCTTATTTAGTGGCTGTGATGAACAAGATGGTCTTAAATTAACCCAGTTTAACACCTGAGAGTCAAACCAGTTGTGCTGGCAAAAAGCCATCAGACTGTTTTATCTGACTGCAATGTTTGTTTATTAACAGTTAATAATGGTGATACCAAATCAATATATTACATTTATTATGCTATCAAAAGACTAAGTACAGAACTTATAGCCCATACTGCAACATAAACCTGCCTCTCCATCAATTTTATTTTCCACTTGTTGGGGTAGGATCACAATCCTACAGAACATCTGAATAAAGGACTGAATAAGCCACTGTAAAGTGAAACATCCTGAATGTTCACTGGGTATTGTAGACTCACAGCAGATACTAGCATTGCCCTGCTATGAACTGACACTTTTTAGTAAGACTAAAAATGGTCAACATTCTGCCTTTAACACAAACAGTGGCTGAACATTTCAGCAGCCGTAGGTTTGGATGTGCTGCAAAAAGATAGGGACTTTAGATCTAGCGACTTTAATATGGGAACCAATCACAACAGGAAATGCAATATATATTATTTTTAGGAAAGACAAATTCATCAGAAATATCAAAAGAGAACTGATGAGCATAAAAAAGCAATGTTATCCACTTAATCTAAATTACTAGTATCCAACTCACAAGTTGTGATGGTTCAAATCTTAGTTGATTTTGATTTATTATCTTGTAAAGTTCACTTAATATGTCATACTTATGACTGGTGTCATGATTATGTATTTGTTGTATTTAAATTGTCCATCCTGTTTGTATCAGCAAATATCAGACAGATAAGCACCACAAATGAGTGTTTAAAATCATCACACAGATGAAGCAGCACCTCTCAAACATTTAGATTTCAAACTGTACATTGGAACATTCATGGAGAAGGATTCATTTCAGGACTGTTGCATTACAATGCTTTGCTTTTAGCTACTGGAGACACAAGTGATTGGCTCCGTTTTAGATTATGATGTAATCATCTAGTTTAATTGAGGACCCTGCTCAGCAGACAGCCACAGTTTGAATAGACATCACCAGTTTACTCAGATTCATAAAAAAGGTGAGTTCAACAGTTGAGCACGGTGCTGATTCATGTTTCAATGGAAGACCACCAAGCTTCAACCCCAGTGACCCTCAACACACGGTGTGATATTGCAGCAGTTACCCCTCTCTGCGTCTGGAGTATCAGGAACATGGGAGACCTCTGGCAAAACAAACAGCTTGAGTGTTCATGATGTTCAGAAAAGGAAAATTTACTCATTATCTACTCACCGCTATACTGATGGAGGGATGGGTGAGGTCTTTGAGTCTCCAAAACTTTCAGGGGTAAACAGTGTTGCAGCCAAATCCAATCCAATTTAAGTAACTGGTTACTCCTTCTATGGATGTACTAAAACTAGGGCTGCAGGATATTAGGAAATACTGTATATGGCACATATAATGATATGACTTGCTTTATAACATTTAAACAGTACCTGGCTACTGACGCAGAGACCACAGACATCTGCAGCCTGGCTGCAGTGCCACCAAGTCGGGTGCAGACACTCAGGGAGCCATGCACAGCTCCACTTAGTTTTAAATTAGGGTCTTTTCAAACTGCGTCAAACCAAAAGGAGCGTCTCCTCCAGCTCGACATACATTTACTAAGTTTATAAAGTCTGTTGTTTGTACTCAGTCTGAGTTTATACACGTGTCGGGTCACACTGTTTTTGTGTGAGAGAACAAGGAAGAGGGAGCGAGCGGCTGATGAATGCGCTGCTCTGAAGACAGATTTAACTCGTTAATAAAAGAATCGATCATTATGTGATGCTCAGTGTTGATATTGTTGCGATAAACAAATAAACTGTAGTGAGTCAGAGACATCAGCTGACTGATACACACGCACGCACACACGCACGCACGCACGCACACACGCACGCACGCACACACGCGCCCACACACACACACACAGACAGACAGACAGACAGGCCAGCGTTTCTGTGTTTGAATGTGTGCGCTGTTACTTCCCTCAGGTTCTGGGATCATTAATAAGCTTTATAATTCTTCTATATAATCAACCACTCATATTGATGAATCTGACCCGGGACAAATGTGATCACTAGAAGTTTCCACAGTAGAATTTAGTAGGACAAGGAGGACATTGATCCGTCAAATCTGTCTGTTTTTCTTCTTCCAACGATGATTTACTGACAGAAACCCCCGTCAATGATGTCTATCGTTTATCATCTAGGGCAGCAAGACTCCATCTGATTTGCCAAATATGTTGACATGCAGAGTGTGAATGCGTGGTGCATGGATCATCATTTATCACAGTTTTTGCTGTCATTTGCGATACGCTATTGCGCATGTTGATATCGAGATGACGATAGATTTCGATATATCGTGCAGCCCTAAATAAAACCAAAAAAGTAATAACATGCCTCCATACTGCTCGTGTGGTGTCATGAATGTCTGGATGCCCCGACATTCAAATTCGACTTGAAACACCATGTTTTTAGCTTATATGTCCACTGATATCCTCCTCTGAGCCACATTCACTTTTGTACGCACACACTGAAGACAAGCACCCAATGGGAACACAGTCTCTGCATCACTGCATCTGCTAACATCACTACTTCCAGTGGTGGACTTTTAGGCTTAAAAAATGGTGTAAATTACACAGTTTTGAATGACACTTAGATGACACCCCAGGAGCAGTATGGAGGCATGTTATGTTTTTTTCAGTTTTATTATGTCTGAAGAAAGAGTCACCACTTACTTCAATTGTATTGGATGCAACACGGTTTACCCCTGAGACTTCATAAATGTTTTGTGGACTCAAACACTTAACCCACTCCTCCATTGGCATAGTGGTAGTAGATAATGAGTGAATTTAAATTTTTCAGTGAACTATCCCTTTAAGGGAGTGTGGCAGACAAGCTACACAACAATGTTGTAGTTGATATAAGGTTTTCTACCTGGAATGGTGCCAAGGCTGGAGTTATCAAAGAATTGCTTGGGATAGGTTCTTGACAGCAGGTCCGAGCTCCCACCCACATCAAATAATCTGCTTTTGGGGGAGTGGAGCTGATAGACCTTTGGAAAGTCCATCACCTTCCTAGGAGAGTCTAGAATCTTCCTAGAAGTAACCACAAACTTCTTAGGTGAGCTGAGGAAGCTGGAGTCTGCGGTCTCTTGTGGCCCTCTCTTGGCAGTAGTGCAGGGTGATGAAGGCTTGTCCACTTCAACTTTACTCTTTACCTTCAGACTGATGGCTCGGCTCTTCCACTTGCTAATCTCTGTCTGCTGAGTAGACACCAAACTGTAGAGACACAGGGGCAGATGTCAATATGGTTTTAAGAGTCATCGAAACTCTCTGAACAGTTCCACTGTCAGCCCGGTTGTACTTACCATTCCAGCTCAGTTATTTTAAGGTAAAGCTGTTTGACTTCCTCCTCAAGTTTGGCCTTGTCCAGCAGAATGCTGCTCTTGATCACCAAACCTCTGGTGTTGGTCAGTTTAGTGTGAAGGTCCTCACCCTGTAAGACTGAATTTACACATTTTCCATTTAACCAGTCTTCCTCTTTAATAGGTAAAAGAATTCACTTTAGTGCTGCATTTATCACCCACAACATTAAACAATTCAACAAGCTTCATTCTTTTTCACAAGCACTTTAAATTTAGTGTTAAATTACTGTGGCACAAGGAATTTGTTACAATCTGGTACCATTAATGCACTTATTCCTTCACATCAATCCTCTTACAATATTGCAGTCATGACATTTTTTTGTCAACGTGGAGTCCTCCTATTTATAGTAACAGGGTTATAAGAGGACTCATGGTGTGTCTGTCAGTAAATCTCATATACACTCAAATCCACATATAATGGAAACAGTAAATGGACTGTATTAATGTAGCACTTGTGCAGTCTTAACCACTGCAAGCACAAGTATCTTTCACACATACATTTATACAGTGCTTGTGTGAAAATGATCAACTGAATGTGCTTCAAGGTGACTTTTAGCTAATTGCTCATCAGTTCAATGTTTTACATCAATTTCACAACTGGAAACAGCCTCTGTCCATAATGTGCTGATTTCTGCAGCAGACACATGCAGTCACAGAGCAGCTGGTGAATCCAAAGATTGCTTGTTTACTAATAAGCTCACCAGCGGCATGTACTGCAAAGCGAGTTCATCATATCCACGATGTGTTTTTGTGATACTGCTCCACTTCACCTAACATTGGCCGTCTTAGCTAATCTGTGCTACGAAGATTTACTACGAATGTAAATCTTTGAAGCATGAGCAGAGGAATTTTATTAAAGTCATTACTGAGTAGTAGTCTTTTCCCTGATGGTCAAACTATTATGAAAATGTGATGCAGATAAGAAATAGTTAAAGTTAAACTCTCTCTCTATATGTGTCATAAAAATCAATGTAAAGGTAATCATGCGTAAATAATGCATTCAGTTTGTTACCACTGCATTCAAGTGCAGGTTGACGTCATCTGAAACAAACTAAGACAGTTTAATTTATGTGCATCGTCTTTACAATATATTAATCTGTGATCGAGATTCTACATTCCCATTATCAATTACCTTTTGAAACAGTCAAAAGAAAAATAACACTGTCACTACCTGAAGCCGAGAGCTACAGTTGAAGACTAAACGCATTTTCAAACTGCTGACTTACATGACTCCTCTCCCTGCTGTTGTAACCTCCTCAATGTCTCCTTCAGATTCCTTAGGGATTCTTCTTTTACAGCCAGCACTGTACTCATTTTCTGGATCCTAAGAAGGAAACACTCTGGTCACAACATTCAGCCACTGAACAAATAGCAAAGTACAAATAATGCTCCTAATGTGCTGTAATCGAGGTAAGATGTCACCTGAGAATTTTATTATGACCTAAATTTGTCAACAGGCCCAATCAGCCTTTTTAAAATAACTGTAGAATAATAAACTGAAGAAAATAACTAAAGAATATTACAATAACAAATTAGGTTCAGCCAATAAATAAGACAGAATGGAACCAAGAGAAAACTAGATTGGTACTTCGAGAGCATTTGAATCCATTAAGACTCAACAGTCCCCTTGTGCCACCACATTTGAATTCTTGAGATCCATGTTTTTTTTGGAAGTGCACAAATTCATAAATATCAGTCTCCTAAACATGTCTGATTTTTTTAATGAATAATTATCTGAGAAAGCAATGAAATTGTTGCAATCTCGCATCGTTAAAAGAAATTGAAAAAACAAAATCCAGGATTCGCACTAGTTTTGTGGTAATCCAGCCCCACAACAGACAGATGAAAACATACCTCCTTGGTGGAGGTAACAAAAGGCTCTTACTCTTGTTGGTGTTTATCAGATGCTGAACTCAACTCCACCTCCATTTTGAACAGTTTGGTCTGGAGATTTTCCAGCTCAACAGCACTGGGTGAAGCTCTTTTCTAATAAGGAAAAGACAAATACGATGAGATGCTTCATTTGAGTCAAAGAACCAACATTTAAACATGTAGACAAAATCTAATGACTGCAATAACTAAGCTCAGAGTCTGATGTAAAGGTAAACAAACCTCTTCACCCTTAGTAAGGCTGCTACTTAGTCTTTTACAGAGGATACAAACCTCACACTCTTGCAGTTTGCCCCTTAGCGTTTTGATCGTCATCTCCTTCTCATCATGTTGGGCACGGCTGTCCTGCAGCTCTGTCTGCAGGAGCTGGGTGGCCTGCTTATGGCTGGACAGCATGTCTTTGGCTTGGATCTGAGCCTCTTCAAGCTGCTCATTTTGTACATGAAGTGCCTGGAACACAGAATAAGATCTGTCACCAGCTGTTAGACAGGTTTCACACTGAGATGGACACTGTAAACAGATAAAGGAAGGGAAAGAAGAAATGAAGAGGCCCATACAAGCTAAGCTACTATGTGCCATGATAGCAGCTAAAATCAACAATGTTATTATCCTCACAGGGTGTTCTGACTCCCTTCTGTGTCAGTGCTTCTCAGTACTAAGCTTACTAGTTCCTACAAAAGGTGTCAATGTGATACATCAAACAGACATACTTTGACTTTTTCTTCAGTGTGCTTGAGTTGAATAAGAAGGTTCTGGTTGTCCTTCAGCAAGGAGAGCTCTGTTTTCAGAGGAGCTCCCTCAATCGCCTGCAGCAGAGTGGAACTTTTGCTTTTCTCCTCTCTGAGCTGAAAACAAGCCTGAGCCTCCAGCAGCTTCAGCTCTTCACTCAGAACACTCTGTTCAGCAGTGATGTCCTGCACAAGGTCCATGGAGAATATGACATTAGGAAGACAAGGAATAGCATTGTAGTGAACATTTACTCCACGTGTCTCCTGATCTGAGGATCCAACACCATTGATTAATAACTAAACACATGATCGTAAGTTTGTCATCTAAATCATCCCAATAAAAAAATGGAACAAATGAAAGTGAAATAGTTCATTTTCATGAACTGAACTTTGAACTAGTTCATCTAAGAGTGAACTGGCACAACACTGTCCAGCAATGCTCTGAAATGAGTGTGTTAAGCGAAAAAGACATGTATAGTACACACACCTGGAGCAGGCAGTGATCTGATCCATACGTAAGGGTGGGTGGTGGAAGGAAAAGCAGGTGGGGTGTGTTACTGGTACGCTAGATGAGTTATCCACGCAGATACTCTAAATATCTAAATATTAAATATCAAAATCAAGTTCGGTCTGTCACCTGTTGTGGTCTGGCATTATTGGATCTGAGTACGTTCAAAACTGTACTTAAAGCTGTCCGCTGTGTTTTCATCAAGTTTCAATTACAGGTCTTCAAAATTGTAGACATCCTGCTCTCTAACAGACAACAGATCACCCTCCTGCCTGTGAAAGTAATCAGAGGTGAATGTTGAACACTACCTGCAGGATCATCTTCTTGCTGTGTGCCAGGGCAGCTCTGCGGTCCAGCTCACAGCTGAGGATGCTATCAAGTTCACCGAAGCTGATTGGCTGGGTACTGATTGTGCCCTGTAGCTGCTCCTTGAACCTCTCCCTCAGTGTGATCTCGGCTGACAACTCATTGGGATGAGAAGCCACATTGTCCAAGAACTTCTCCAAAATGATGGACATTTTCTACAAAGCCAGCAGAGTTGTTGTGAGATATCAGTACATTAATGTTGGAGAGATGGATATAAACATAACCTCAGTGAGCGATGTGTCATTGAATCCTCCACCTGCTGGATTTTATACTTCAAATTGCTCTGGATAAAACCATTTACTGAACTATGTCTATGTCTGAACTACGATAAAAACTATGTCCCTCAGTAGCTTTTACCTCAGCAAAGGCCCTCATGAAACCACATTAATATTCACTAAATCCAAGTAATCAATCAAAATCAAGTAAACCCCTTATCTTGCCATTTTAGAGAAAGTGAAAAGAATTCTTGGATCCATCTCTTGATCCAGATCCACACTAAGAATTTGTGGGTTCTTCCCTGACCTGAAGTTTTGTGTAAATCAGCCCAGCAGTTTTTGCATAATCTTGCTTACAAACAAACCATCCAACAAATGCTCTACCAAAGAGCTTTGGTAGAGGTAATGACTGAATTGGATAGCAAGCATTTCGAAAAGGCTGGGACACATTCTCACCTGCTGGTAGAGCTCCCTCTTGTCCAGTAGCTCAGTCAGTCTGTGTTCCCACACAGTATGGAAGTCCTCATCTTTGACAGAGAAGCTGGGTGCCTGCACTCTGCACAGCAGCACATCCTGCAGCCGCCTTTCCTCAAAAACAGACAAGTCTTTCTTTACCAACTCCTCAAACCGATTCCGGAAATCCTGGGCCTTCACCTGTAGGCACACCTGAGGAAGTGAATAACTGATTACTACTTCATCTTCATCTCATAAGACCTACATGAAATTTCAAGTTGAAAAATGTTTATACTTACTACAATGTTTCCCAGAGTCTGAACAGTATCGAGTCCCAGCTGACATATAGCAGTGTAGGCACTCATGGTGGATTTTGGAAGAGAGGTCAGATAACCATGGTTCAAGCCACTCTGCACCCTCAAAACCTTGTCCATGGGTATGGAGATGTATTTGGAACACTTGTCTATAAAGTGTTCAAATCCTCTGAAGGTCTCCTACAACAACATCAGTTCAGTAGAATTATATTAAATTCTTTGTCTACCTTTAACCTGCTGATGAATGCACATTTAGAGGTGACATTACCTGAAGCTGCCTGGTGGAGTCGTTCAGCCTTGATGACACCGTCACCTCGACTCCAGTGGAGCCTCGATCTGCTCTGAGCAACTGAAAGAAAAGAAGGACCAGTAAGAAGGCCGGTGCTCACGAGCAACAAAGAGAGAACAACACACTATCCACTCTGTGTGAATGTCTTATTAAAGCTGCTTCATTATTACCACCCTCACACATTACTGTATATGCCACTTTATATAATGTATATTACACTATATCTGTACAGGAGAATAGTGCCTGGCTAATTCCACAGATACTCCCTTCTCTCTCTAAGCAGAACCAAAGGTCAGGTTATAGATAAAGGACCGACCAACCAACAGTACATAGTGTCTACACTTAGGGACTTTCATATCTAACTCAGATGCGCTAAACAAAGAGGCACTTCAACTCTTTTGCGTATTTTACCAGTAGCAAGACACAAGGACACAATGTGATTTAGGAATGCATATTTAGACTTAACTATCCAATAGGATTGGAACACCTACATGTAACATAGAGAGTGACAGCAATTCTAGCCATTCATGGATGTGCTATGGAGAAGCTGTGGGAGACATCTTCAGACATGGGGGTGACTATTGCTCACGTTACTCTGTTAGCCTTTGTATATTGTTCCACCTTCTGGTCTCTTTGATGCATCAAGTCTTCATTAAAATCTTCTGCGTAAGAAATCAGCTGCTGCCTGAGTGCTCCTTTCCCCAGCTTCCAGAAAAGTTCCATAACAATTATGTCCAGGACGGGCAGGGAGGGTTGGATGGATGGAGACAGATCAACGAGAATAAGTATCACAGTTCATGGTAATGTCAGACTGACAGGGACCATTTCTGAGACAAAAACACATCTGGATGGTTTTTGATGGTGTAAAGCAGGGGCTTTGTTCCGGGCTGGGTGCTGAACCTCCATACTTTTATGACACTAACAAGCTCAGAAAATGCCTCCGCTCCAAACGTCAATACCTAAGGAATAAACCTCATCAGCATCAGTGACCCAATGAGTATGCAGCATGGTTGTGCCAGGATCTAATAATGTTGGTGATTGGTGGTCTGATATAACAACTGTAGAGGTATGTACACACTTAAACATGAATGGAATACATTTCAAAATAGAAAGTTGATCTGTTTTTGACTGCAAGAAAAAGGGACCACAGACCTCTTAGTGTTCCAGTTGCATAGGAAATGTTTAGCCAAAAATTTAAATTCAACTTGTTAATGGTTGCTGAGTAAATTTTATCATGATCATGAAGCTGAAGAATTTAAACAAACTTCACTACAACATCAGCATGGTTAACACGTTTCTATTTTGCATAGAAAATGTCAAGGAGCTGAAAAATAAAATTTAAGATCTTGATCAAAAGTTGGTTTAGGAAACAAATATTGAAGTTTGAAGGTATCAGTAACGATATTGACAATGTTTCGATACCCAGCTAAAATGATCATCATCGTCATTTTTAGAGAACTTCTCATCCTCATCTCTTTGATTGTTGCATTTCAAACAAATCACTCACAACAGACAGACCACAATTCTAAAAAAGTAAATACAATAAAAAAACATTTCAAAAATGTTTACTATGAACGGTTTGCATGTCTTGTCTGCATGCCATTCTCCAGTAACTTATTCCAAAATAGATTATTCGTCAGAACTGTTTGCTTTACCAAAAAAATTGTTGGTTTCATTGCTCACATAGACCCCACCCATACAGTAAGTGGTCTATGCAAACACTTTCCATTTCCATGTCTGCCCCACGAAATCAGGGCAGACACCCAGGGAGCCATACATAGCTCCACTAAGTCCGCTTACAGTTTTAACTTTGGGTCTTTTCAAACATGTTTGGACTGTTTTAACAGCTCTGTCAGTAATTTACTGCTCCTCTCTGTGTCTCCATCCTTGCGCTGGATAAGGTGTCTCTGACAGCGGGGTGTGGTTAGGGCGCCAACTGCTGGACAACAGGGAGGAGTGGCTCAGCCGGTAATCAGACAGCTGTGCAGAATCAGGTAATTAGGCAATCAATAAGAGCACGCTGGTAACCTGGTTGTTCTCTTGCAGTAGGCTGGGTTCGAGAAGCCTGAGCAGCCGTGTGTGAACGTGTGAGGATCCACAAGCCTGTGTATATGTGTGTGGTGGCCTGACGAGGCGGACAATTATTAATAAAGAACACTGTTGAAACGCCATTCTCTCCTCCTGTATTTATCTGGAGTGGGCCGAGTAATCTCACAGTGTCATTACTACAGCTGGGTGAAGTGTCCACTTCACAAAGAGAGGATTTCCACTGGACAAAAGTTCAGCACCCAGATTCTGAATTGCGGGAATGTGCGTTGCTCTCATGGAGAGGAGATGCACCTCGCTCCATAATATCAGTCTGCATGCAAGAGTGTGTAAGTGTGGAGAATGTAGACTCCCTCCGAAAATAGTTATATGCCACTGTGGCCATATTGTCTATCCTCACAACACATGATGAACGGCAGAAAATGTTTTAGCATCAGAAACACTGCCATCAGCTACAAATAATTTGTATGGGCATGTAGAAGACCCCCTTGGAACTGCCCTCGTACACACTGCCCCAGCCTGACATACGTTGTCACTAATTTCCTGGCAGATATTGCACCTATGCGCACACCTGCCGTCAGACAAGACAGCCGTTTCCAAGGTTGCAGCAAGAGGATGCACAATGCACACACCATTACCCTGCGGCATCTATAGATCCAGTCTGAGAGAATCCACCCAAAGCTGAAAATCTCTCATGTACAGCCAGCCCAGCCTCACCACTGTCCAGATATGTGGCCAAGGTACTAGGTACTCGTACACTGTGTCCTGAAAAGTGATCCTCAAATATTTTCTGTGTGGAGGATAAATGGGAATGTGATAAATGATTCTTTCAGATCGATTGATGTGAACCATTCTCCCGGCTTTATCAACCATATCAGCTGTGTGTAAGCATGAAAAACTTGTATCTCATAAAGTACAAGTTCAAAATGCGCAGGGCCAGGTTGGGACATAAGCGGTTCCCCCCTTTCTTTGGGACCACGAAATACCTTGAATAGAAATTCTTCAGCCTCTGCTTGTGTGGCACTATTCGTATGGCACTTTTGTTTGGCAGAGCAGATATTTCTTCCCATAATACCTGAACTGACTCTCCCTGCATGGAAGTGATGAGACCATTGAAATGGGGGATACTGCAGCACCTTGAAGTCTGTAGCCCTTGGACAGTGTTCTCAATATCCATTCTGATGCTGTGCCACTCTTCAAACCCTCTAACCTTGCAGTTAGCACTGAACCTGTATCTGACACAGACGATATCTGGTGCCCCGCTTTTGCTGTACAGCGCCGTCCCCTATCGGTGGACAATGGTGTGTCCACAGAGTACCACTGTACATGCACCGACTGGCAGGATGTTTCACCACAGGGATGCTCTTTCCCCCATGTCTTGTGGCATTTGTTTACGGTAGTTAGTTAACTAACTAGCGCGTACACCTATGGTAAAGGCATTTGGACTGGCGTATCTTACAACTAGTGTCCAGCGCTGGACAGTAGCTAGTTAGCATCGACGTGGATCAGAGTAACTTGTTTGTGAAGCGAGGAAGAGGTGTTTGAATGATGTGCGACACTGTGTCAGGCGTATTTAAGGTGCTGGACACTGATGTAATAACTGCCAGCCATATGTGAGGAGGCATATCCCATAGTGAGACATCAAAACGAATGCCAAGAAAGAGAACACCCAGACACAAACAGAACAATATGGTTTATGCAGTCCACTGCATCAAGGATTACTCAGACCTGAACATCAGGAAAACAAAACGGACACTAAATAAATGGATTGCACAACACAGAAGAGCCAGTTCATCAAGCCGGAACTCAGCAGTTCACTAACACCTCTCCTCACACTGCATATAATTCATATCTATTGCATATACCTTGACCTATCCTCACACTGCATATACCAGTATAATTATGTTCATATGTTTCTTTAAATTTTGGGATATTCTTTAAGTATTGCATGTTACTTTTTTGCTGATGTCTTTTTAACTCTTGCTTCTGTAATACTGCAAATTTCACCATTGAAGGACTTATAAAGGACTTCTTATTTTATCTCAGGGACAAGGGGCATACTTTTGAGGATGGTAATGTGTGTATTTTGGCCAGAGAGGGCAGACTGTTTGATAGAGTAAAAGAAGATATCTTTGTCAACCTGGAAAAAACATCACTCGACAGAGGAGGTGGTTTAAGACGCCAACTTTCAGCCACCTACAATGCTTTCCTCCCTCCCAAGTTCTCTGACCAGAAAACTCAACATCCGGTCACACCTCAACTCCAATGACCCCGATGACTCTCAGTATAGCAGGGTGGGTCTACAATTTACCAACAGCCATTCATACTTTGACTCCGAGGACCCCAACGACCCAAAACTGTAGGGGAGTCCACAACTTGCCTGTTTAACATAACGACTCAACAAAGGTACAGACCCACGGAGGTGAAATTGATGGATAAGAGGTCAAACATCTTCATGAAACACAGGCAAGTCCAGTTGCCTACATAAAATTGTACAACTTCTGAAGACACCATGACCTGGTATGACTGACAATCTTCAAGGACAGGCTTTACAGTACAGTATACTGCCATTCACACACTTTCATACAGTGCATATATGGGCAGCACGCTTTGAATGAGAAGTTCAGTAGCCCAAGGACACTTCAGCATGTAGATGGGGAAGACTTGGGTCGAACCTACTGTTTAGAGAACGACCGCTCGACTGACTATTAAAAGAAACGTACCATCCCGGTCTCCAGCTCTGCTATGAGCTGCTGCTGCTTCTACTGTCTCAGTTCCTGCAGTGTCTCCTGTAGCTGATCCCTCTCCTCACAGAGAGACATCACCCTGCACTGCTACCTGTCTTTCTCCTCAGAGGAGCTCTGAAAGCTCTCACAGAGCAGACCTTCTCTCTCCTGATTGGTGCAGTGGCTCATTCAAAAGTCTCTTTAACTTTGACTTAAAACTAGTTATAATCCACATATCCTATCACAACTAATATTATACAAGCAGGTGTACATATTATTCAATTTTATAGCAGTTAAGGTATTTTATACTGACCTCACACTGCAGGTTCTCCATCCTGTCCTCCAGCTCTGCTCTGAGCTGCTGATTCTCCTTTCTCAGTTCCTGCAGTGTCTCCTGCAGCTGGTCCCTCTCCTCACAGAGAGACATTACCCTGCACAGCAGCTTCTCCTTCTCTTCAGAGGAGCTCTGAAAGCTGGCTTCCTTGTGACTGAGCAGACTGTCTCGCTCTGTTTCAGTGCTTTCCAGTTTCTCTGTTAAAGTTTTCACCTGTGACAAAGGCAGCAGTCACAATGCTCATTCAAAAGTCCCTTCAACTTTGACTCCAAACTAATCCAAATGTCCA